AAGTGTTTTGACTCCAAACAAGTCATAAATCCTCAGAACTTAATTTTAATAGTTAATACAACATAACCCAAACATATATGAAATAATGAATAAATAATTTTAAAAAGTGAAATTTTTGCAAAATTATGAAAAACTGGTATTTTTGAAAAATAAAAGTTTAAAAGTGGCATTTCTCAAAAATTTGCATTGAAATTTAATTTAGTTATTTATACTTGTGTCATATTCAACCATTGAAAAAAACTCGAAATTCTTTCTAAAATAAATTACTGATAAATCATATATATCAACCAAAAGGTACAGTAAAATATTGAATTTAATTTTTTTTTTTTGGAAAAATAAATACTTTGTAATCATATTTATTTTTTGAACGTTATGCCTAATATCAATATATATCCAAAAACTAATGGAGTTTCAAAAGCAAGATCTTTTGGTAAAACCATCATAGAGATGACAATGTAATGTTATCATAATTTTTTTTTGAGAAATTTCAAAAAATGCCACTTTTCAAGTGCCACTTTATAAAAATGCCACACTTTTGAAATTTTTACAAAAATGTCATTTTTCAAAATTAGTTTTTCTTTATATTATTTATATTTGGGTTAACTATGTTCTATTAGGGTTTAGTTACGAGGGTTTAAAGGGGTTTAGGGGTCAAAAAATTTTTTAGTATTTAGAATTTTAAGATATATGGTTTACAAATCTATAATTAGTGGCATTTTTGCAAATGAACACCCCTAAGTGGTATTTTTGCAAATATGCACATAAAAAGTGGCATTTTTGCATTTTTCCCTCTTTTTTTTTTAACTAAAAATTTCATCACAAAAATTTGAAGTTAAATTTTTAAAAATACCACTTTTCAAATACCACTTTTTAAAAATGTCATATTTTTAAAATCTTTGCAAAAATTTCATTTTTTCAAAAAAAAACCATTATATTATTTGTTTTTGGGTTAATTATGTTGTATTAGAGTTTAGTTTTGAGGATTTTAGGGTTTAAGGGTCAAAACATTTTTTAGGGTTTATAATTTTAAGATTTATGTTTTAAAAAACTATAATTAGTGTCATATTTACAAATGATCACCTCTAAATGGCCTTCTTGCAAATATGCACATCAAAAATGGTATTTTTGCAATTGCTCCAAATTTGAAGAGTAAAGTTTTTTCCCCAAAAAAAAAAAATTCTCACATATTTTGCTAAAACAAATAAGTAGAAAAATATCGATGTAGATATAAATAGGAGTAATTGAAAAAATGTCATTTTTAGTTTGTTCATTTTAAAAAATGTCACTATAAGTTGTCCATTTGTAAAATACCACTAATTAAAA